CTCCCAGCAAACAAAAACCCAGGCCTGGATAGCTTCACGGGGGAGTTTTAACGAACATTCACAGACGAACTAACACCCATTTTCCTCAAATTATTTTACAAAATTCAAGAAGAAGGAAGACTTCCAAACTCGTATTATGAGGCCAGCATGATTCTAATTCCAAAAGCAGAAAAAGACATACAAAGAAAGAAAACCACAGACCAATATCCCTGATGAACATAGACACCAAAATCCTGAACAAAATAATAGCAAATTGAATCCAGCAATACATCAAGAAAATTATTCACCATGACCAAGTGGGATTCATCCCAGGGATGCAAGGCTGGTACAATATTCGCAAATCAATAAATGTGATATACTACATAAATAAAATGAAGAATAAAAACCACATGATCATATCAATAGATGTTGAAAACGCATTTGACAAAATCCAGCACCCATTTCTGATAAAAATGCTCGGCAATCTGGGAATAGAGGGATCATATCTCGACATAATAAAGGCCATATATGAAAGACCTACAGCCAACATCAGACTCAATGGGTAGAAACTAAAAGCATTTCCCTTAAGAACAGGAACAAGACAGGGATGCCCACATTCGCCACTCTTATTTAACATAATACTGGAAGTCTTAGCCACAGCAATCAGACATGAATAAAAAATAAAAAGGATCCAAATTGGAAAGGAGGAAGTGAAACTGTCATTATTTGCAGATAACATGATATTATCCATAGAAAACCCTAAAAACTCCATCAAAAATCTACTAGACTTAATAAATGAATTTGGAAAAAGTAGCAGGATACAAAATTAATGTCAAGAAATCAACGGCATTCTTATACACCAATGATGAACTCACAGAAAGAGAAACTGAAAGAACAATCCATTTACCATCGCAGCAAAAAAATTAAGATACCTGGGAATAAACTTAACGAAAGAAGTAAAGGACCTATTTGCAGAAAACTACAGGATGTTGAAAAAAGAAACAGAGGAAGACATAAAAAAGTGGAAGCACATACCTTGTTCATGGATTGGAAGAATTAACATCATTAAAATGTCCATACTACCCAAAGCATTCTATAGATTCAATGCAATCCCCATCAAAATACCAACGACATATTTCACAGAACTAGAACAAATACTTCAAAAGTTCATATGGAACCAAGAAAGTCCCCAAATAGCCACAGCAATCTTGAAAAAGAAGGACAAAGTAGGTGGGATCACAATACCAGATATCAGGTTATACTACAAAGCGACTGTAATCAAAACAGCCTGGTACTGGCACAAGAACAGGCATATAAACCAGTGGAACGGAACAGAGGACCCAGAAATGGACCCAAGACATTATGCTCAATTAACATTTGACAAAGGAGGTAAGAGCATACAATGGACTAAAGACAGCCTCTTTAATAAATGGTGTTGGGAAAATTTGGACAGCTACATGCAAAAAAAATGAAACTAGACCATCAACTTACACCCTACACAAGAATAAACTCAAAATGGATAAAAGACTTAAATGTGACTCATGAATCCATAAAAATTCTAGAAGAAAATGTAGGCAACAAAATTTTGGACATCATACGCAGCAGAATTTTCACTGATACATCACCTAAGGCAACAGAAACAAAGGAGAAAATGAACACATGGGACTACATCAAACTAAAAAGCTTCTGCACAGCAAAAGATACAATCATCAACCCACTGTATGGGAGAGCATCATTGCCAATGATACATCAGATAAGGGGTTAATTTCCAAAATATACAGAGTACTCATACAGTTCAACAAAAGGAGACAAAGAACCCAATTAAAAAATGGGCAGTGGAGCTGAATAGACACCTCTCCAAACAGGACATACAAATGGCCAAGAAACATATGAAAAAATGCTCAACATCACTAACCATTATAGAGATGCAAATTAAAACAAAAATGAGGTATCACTTCACATCTGTCAGAATGGCTGCCATCAACTAATCATCAAACGAGGGTGTGGAGAAAAGGGGACTCTAGTACACTGCTGGTGGGAATGCAGACTGGTGCAGCCACTATGGAAAACACTATGGTGTTACCTCAAAAAATTAAAAATGGAACTTCCATTTGACCCAGTGATCCCACTTCTAGGAATATACCCTAGGAAGCCTGAAACACCAACCAGAAAGAATATGTGCACCCCCATGTTCATAGCAGCACTATTTACAATAGCTAAGATCTGGAAACAGCCCAAGTGTCTATCAGTAGACGAATGAATAAAAAAGCTGTGGTATATATACACAATGGAATACTATGCAGCTGTAAGAAAGAAAGATCTCTTATCCTTTGAGATGACATGGAGGGACCTGGAAAGTATTATCCTAAGCGAAACAAGCAGAAAAAGACAAATACCACATGATCTCACTTATTTGTGGAATATAATGAACATAACAGTCTGAGGAACAGGGTAGACCCAGAGACGTGGACGTAGGGTACAGACTGACAACCCTTAGAAGAGGGGGTAGTGGGTGGAGGGAAGAGATAAACCACAGAACTTATATGCATGTACGCATAACCAATGGACATGGACAACAAAGCCGGGTATGGGGTGAGGGGGGTGGGAAGGAGGGCGTCAACGGGGTAAAAAAGGAGAAATATCTGTAACAAAAATAAAATTTAAATAAAAGTGAAAAAAATAAAAACCTCTAAAACGAACAATTTAAAAAATTCAATGAGAAAATGGGCAAAAGACTTTCAGTGAAGAGAATATGCAGATGGCAAATAAACCCATGGAAAGATGTCTAATATCATTAACCACTATGGAAACCCAAGCAAAAGCCACAATAAATCACTGCATACCTATCAGAATGTCTACATAAAACACAGGAGCACGAAGCGCTGATGAGGATAGGGAGAACCTGATCTCTCATACACTGCTGTTAGGAACGGAAAATGTGCAAAAACACTGGGAAACAGTTTAGCAGTTTCTATGAATCATTAAACCCAGCTCCTATGTGACCCAGCAACTTTACTCCTGGGAATTTACCCCAGAAAACTGAAGACTTATGTTTTCGTTATGTTACATGACATGTTACTGTCCATCAATGTTTCTATCAGCTTTATTCATAATAGCCCAACAAGAGAAACAACCTAGAGGTCCTTCAAAGTTTGGTACATTCAAACCACAGACTACTACCCAGCAATTAAAAGGAGCAAACTAATGACACAGTAGTTTGAATCTCCGGAGAATTTTGTTGAGTGAAAAAAAAACCCAATCCCAAAAGGTTAAGTATTGTGTGATTCTGTTATACAATAGTCATGAAGTGACAGACCTATAGAAATGAAGAACAAATCAGTGGTTGTTGGAGATTAAGGAGGAGGTGGGGTGGAAATGAAGTGGGTGTGGGTATAAAAGGGATCCTTATGGTGATGGAAAGTTCTCTATGTTCACAGTATCAGTGAGTGTCCTGGTTGTGGTCGTGTACAATGGTTTTGCAAAAGTTATCGAATAAAGCTGGATACAGGGATCTCTACTGCATGTGAATCTGCAATTATCTCAATATGAAAAGTTTAATTAGAAAATAAATAAAAGTAGCCTTATTACTGTATTGCAAAATAAATGCAGCCACTGAAAAGAAATCCAACACCAATTAAATGAAGTGCTCTCTTCAGCCCAAGTTTAATTCTGAAGATTACTATGAACTAAAGTTTATAACATGCTCCTCACCCACACAGGCACAGAAACAGCAACTATAACAAGGCGGTTCAGGTGGAAAAACTGACACTTCTCTAATCGCATCACAGAGTAGGAAGAGGCCTGGCTAAAGCAGGGCCCTCCGTTCTAGCAGAGGCACTGGCTGTGTAACTTTGGACACTTCACCTCGCGGCTCAGGATGCAATCTGAACTCTTCCTACCACCGAGATTTCTAACTCAGGAGACTGCTTAGACCAGTTCTTAAACTTTTTGCTCTCAGGACCCCAAAGAGCTTTCGTTTGCCTGGATTACAACCACTGATCGTTCTAGTACTAGAAATCGAAACACAAGCCCTGGCCAGTGTGCTCCGAGGTCAGAGAGTCAGTTGTGCACCTAAGGGTCTGGGTTCGATTCCAGAAAGGGCATGTACCTGGGTTGTAGGCTCCATCTCCCTTTGCGCAGGATGCAACCAATTCATGTATTTCCCTCACAGGGATGCTTCTCGCTCTCTCTTTCCCCCTCCCTCCCTTCCACTCTCGCTAAAACACATAAATAAACAAATAAATAATAAACCTAAAACACAAAACGTAACAGACAAGCATGCACAGACACAGTCCCTCAGGACCGTGCGGTCACTCACGGCACGGTAGTGTACGAAAACCTCAAGTACACTCACAAGGGACCGAGTTGGAAAAAGGAAGTAACAGCCTGGTACTGTTGGGGAAAGCAGTGTGACCGCACTTGGAGAACGGCTGGCTTACTATCAAACGAGATAAGAATATATCGAACTGACTTGAAAGGTATAAAACACCAGACAAGTGAGTAGCACGTGCTATTTTCATGCACGAGGGCGCCGCAGCCCAGGAGCGGGGCGGGAGGAGGCTCCAGCCCGGGGGCGCCGGGAGGGGCGCGGTGACCCGGGGCGCGCCGGTCGCCCCGCTCGGGGAAGGCGCCCGCGGTGAAGATCGCCTCTGGTGTCACCCGTATCTGCGCGTCCAAAACCGTTATCAGAACCACGGACCCACGGTCTCTGTTCCAGATTTAACTTCGGCGGAGACGGGAAGCCAGGCACACCCTCGAGCCGCTCCCGCCGGACGCGGGAGCCGGGGGCCGTGCGCGCCGGGTGCGGGCCGCCCGGGGGCCGCCGGAGAGGGAGGGTCCCGTTCCCGCTGAGCCGGAGGACGGCCGCGGAGCCCGCGAGGACCCGGAGGGCGGGACCCTCCGCCCGGGCTGGACGCGGCGGGATCGGCTGCCGCCCGCCGGCGGGAGGAAGTTACGTTGGGACCCCGGGACGGCAGGGCGGAGACCCGGGAGCCGGCCTGGGGAGGGGTCGCCGCACTCACCGGGGGCCGCGTGTCCTCGGAGGTCATGGTGCCGGGCGGCAGCGGAGCGGACGGCGGTCTCAGCCCCGGCCCCGAGCAGCGCGTCCCGGCGGAGGGAGCCAGGGGAGAGGGAAGGGCTGTGCGCGCGGGGCGCGGGCCGGAGGCGGCGCAACGGGAGAGGCTGGCCACCCGCTCCGGGGAGGGGCGGGGCCGAGCCGTGGCCTCGGGGACACGGGCGCGAGCGGGCCTCTCACAGGAGGGTCCCACGGCGCTTCCCTGGACAGTTCGCGCCGGGGGAGGTGGCGGGAGGACACGGAGCGGGAGGGGGAAGCCGCGAGGAAATGAGGTCCGGGCTTCCCGGCCAGCGGGCGGCGGGAGGGCGGCGGCCCGCGCGAGGACCGGAAGTGGGCGGGGTACGGAGGGGCTCTGTCCGCGGGCGGTCGGCGGGAGCCGAGATTGCGGGCCGCGCGGGGACCGGAAGTGGGCGGGGCCGGGTCGCGGGGGGGCGTGTTCGCGCGGGGCCCGGCCCAGTGAGCTAGTCCGGCGCCTCCCGCCGCAGACGGTGGTTTGGAGCCGGAGGAGCCCGCCCAGTCCGCAGCAGGGAGCGGACGGCGATGGGGCCCGGTTGAGCCGGCCGCCCGCCGGGCGAACAGCGCGACCACGGATGGAGGGCCCGGCGGAGCTCGGCCCCGAGGCGGTGCTGCGCTTCCTTGCGGAGCGCGGGGGCCGGGCCCGGCAAGCCGAGCTGGTGCAGCACTTCAGGGGCGCCCTGGGCGGCGACCCCGAGCGGCGCGCCCGCTTCAAGGAGCTGGTCAATGCCGTGGCCACCGTGCGCACCGACCCCGCCGACGGCGCCAAGTATGTGCACCTCAAGAAGAGGTTCTGCGAAGGCTCCGGGTCGCCCAGGGCCGCGCCCCCCCAGGACCTGCCGCGCATCGCGGTGACCGCAGAGCCCGAGCCCCGCGGGGGCGCTCCGGAGGGGCCCGACGGCCCGGCCCCGCGCTGGGAGAGCGGCCTGTGCCCGGAGGCGGCGTCCCCGGTGACGCCCCCGAGTCCGGGCTGCGGCCCCGGCGATGAGGAGTCGTCCGCCGCGGCGCTTGGGCCGCCCCTGAACGGCGGGGCCCGGAGGAAGAACTCGCGGCGCGATGCGCAGCCTCTGGCCGGAGCGCCGGCTCCTACGCCCAGCGAGGACTTGGACGCCCAGCCCCACGGCTGCGAGGAGGCGGACACGGGGAGCTCTCCCGGGGGCACCGCCACCCCGAGATCCGCTCGCCAGAACCTCCGGGACCTGGTGATGGGCAGCTCCCCGCAGCTGAAGAGGAGCGTCTGCACTGGGGGCAGCAGCCCGGGAGGCTTCTCTGGGGGCGGACGCGGCAAAGGCGGGGGCGACTCGGACAGCGCTTCGGTGGCTTCGTCGTCAGCCGAGGAGGAGAGCAGCAGCGGGGGCTCGGTGACGCTGGACCCTTTGGAGCACGCCTGGATGCTCTCGGCCTCGGACGGCAAGTGGGACAGCCTGGAGGCGTTGCTCAGCTGCGAGCCTGGCCTGCTGGCCAAGCGGGACTTCATCACCGGCTTCACCTGCCTGCACTGGGCCGCCAAGCACGGCCGGCAGGAGCTCCTGGCCATGCTGGTCAACTTCGCCAACAAGCACCAGCTGCCGGTGAACATCAACGCCAAGACGAGTGGCGGCTACACCGCCCTGCACCTGGCAGCCATGCACGGGCACGTGGAGGTGGTGAAGTTGCTGGTGGGGGCCTACGACGCAGACGTGGACGTCCGCGACTACAGTGGGAAAAAGGCCTCGCAGTACCTGAGCCAGAGCATCGCCGAGGAGATCAAGAACCTGGTGGGAGCGCTGGACGAGGACGACGGCGAGAGCGCCGGCGGCGGCGGGGGTGGGCGCTGGAGGCTTTCCAAGGTTCTCCCCTCGCACCTCATCACCTACAAACTCTCGCACGTCCTGGAGGATGGAGGGGATCACCACCACCACCACCACCACCACCACCTGGGTGAGGGATGGGCAGGAGGCAAAGCAAAGGATCCGGGTCGCAAACCTTCGGGCAGCGCTAGTGGGCGAATAAAACCCAGACTCAACAAAATCCACTTTCGAACCCAGATCATCCACACCACACCCTCTTTCAGAGACCCCGAACAGCCACCGGAGGAGGGGGAGCAGGAGGAAGAGGACCGGTCTATTAAAGGCCACTTATCCTCATTCAAATTGAGACCGAAGTCCAATGTATTTGGGTAAAAATTTTTTTTAGAAAATTTTAAGATTTGTCCGAAATACAATACTAGGTGTAGGCAAGTGAATGAGACCAGAAAAGACTTGGGCTAAATTATGCATCCTTATTTGGGGGGTTGAAATGGGGTGGGGGTTGAGGGAGTTCCCCCTAGTATTCTAGGTGAGATGGCTTTCCAGGTGAGTCCTCAAACCTTGACCTCGGCCTCTTTTCCTCATGCCGTCCCATTGCTCTGCTTGTGAGGACTAGAAATGTATCTAAATGGGGGCACAGCATTGATGACTGAGGGTTCCTTTGATTTAACCATTGGATGTCATGCCAAGTGAGGAATATTGCACGTTTATGAATCTGTTTTTAAAAGTTGTTACTCTTCCAAAAACAACAAGACATGCAAATTGTAATGAAACTGGTAGTATTTGTTCAGTGTGACCAAAACTACTTACTGCCTGTATTTTTTACTAATTACATTTGCTTTATAAGGTACTAAGGAATATCCGGTAAGTTAAAATGCAAAAATACTAATTAGAGAATAATGTGAATAAAAATGGGAATCCTGTTGGTATATCCTATTGTAAGTAGTGTTCAACTCTTTTGTTAAAAAGCAATTTTAGTTTTAAGCACTGAACTTAAGAAATAGGCAGCATTCACTTTTGAGTTCATCGTTAGTGTGCTTTCCTCTTAGCCATCTCATACCACTGCACTCAGTATTCAAGTACAGTATTAAAAGGAAACACCTTTAACAACCTACGGTACTTTTAAGTAAAATATTGCCTGTGGTTCTGATTCTCACTTGTTTTGCTTTTCTAAAAGTAAATTTGCTGAAGTTTTTAATTCGGGGTTTATATAACTGTTGGTTCTGTTTGACATGACCCTATTTGATCGTGCTCAGAGTTGAATTGCCTACAAAAACAGTTTCTGGTTTAGATGATTAGCAAAAATGATCATAAATGTAAGTGAGCCTATGCTTCTGTGAAGTAATTTTTAAATCAGCCTGATGACTCACGTATGGTACACTTTGTTTTACTAATAAAACTCGCTCATAGCCCTGGCCGGTTTGGCTCAGCGGTTAGAGCATCGGCCTGCGGTCCAGAGAGACCCGGGTTCAGTTCCCGCTAAGGGCATGTACTTCGGTTGCAGTTTGTCCCCGGCCCTGGTTGGTTGTGTGGGTGGCAGCCACTCGATGTGTCCCTTCACATCGATGTTTCTCTCTCTCTCTCCCTCCCACTCTATCTGTACAAAAAATGGAAAAATATCCTCGGGTGAGGATAAACAAAAAAACAAACAAAAAAAAAAAAAAAACTCGCTCATAGTCTCTATGCTTTGTAGCAATATTTTCCATTGTTTCCTTGAATCTAATAGACATACAGTGAAGTTACTGAGAAGCTGGATAGTGAATCTACCCAGTTAAAAATAGCACTTTATAAAAGGGAAAAGAGAAGAGATGGTACTATTTCTATATTTAAATTCCACTGGCTATTGAATTCCTTTGCGTATAAATGAAAAATACCATTCATTAAAATTAAAGACTTACATTCCATTCAAATATATTAATGTGAATGTTTTATAATGTAAAATTTAACTCAGAAGCATATTAAATCTATTTGTAACAAGATTCAAAACAACTTTTGAGGGAGACTAATTGCAATAAGTCCTTCTTTGGTCTCCTTATTGCTGAACAAGCTCCTGCAGCCTGTAGAGTAAGGGGCGAGGAGCTTGCAGAGCGAGTGAACCAGTCTGGGAATGGCACAGCATTGCCTCTTTAGAGAGGTCTTATATCTTCGTTTCCCAAGTCGGAGAAACTTGTAAGGCATTTGTCACACCTCTGTGGATTGAATTTGTTTAAAGATTAATGGAAAATAGTCACATAAAATATATAAACTAGTATCCATTTATGTGCCTTTATTTTTGTTTTAGGGTTATGGAAGTGGGCCATGTACATTTGAGAAGCACTTTTTCATACATGTGGGTGACAAACAATCCAATTTTGTATGAATTAAAAGCAGATTCCTTGAAAACAACCATTTGCTCTGAAGCATGTACACATTACCTGTATCCAGTGCAGAATAAGCTGTAACTTCCCACCGAGGGATCTAACTTTCACTGGCATGAAAGCTAAAGTGAACTATAAAGAATAGACACTTCAGAACCATCTGAACATTCTATTAAACAGTATTAATCTCTTAAATGTGTATGTTACTAAGTAATTGAATAAAACCTATAATTTGCTAGATCTTTAGAGGTTGAACCAGTGGTTCATTTAACTTTTCACACTAGAGATTGTAATTTTTCTGATAAAATTGATTTTAAATTTTCAAAAATCACTCCCGAGGGAAACTGCCTGTAGCATTCCTTGTCGTGATGTGCGGGTGTTGCATTTTCAGCTAGAAAGTCTACCTTCCTCCGTTTTCCAGTTTCCAGATTGAGATTATAAAGAGCAAATGACTTGTGTAATTTGATATTTGTGGAGTTGTATTTACCATTGATGGAAATTATGTCAGTTACTTAGATGTTTGTTAATATGAAACTGGTTAGAAAACTTAACAATGTCCATGTGTTTTTTATAGGTACATTTGAAACAAATGAATGTATGTAACAATTCTCTTCATGTTTATGGTAGATAAAATGCAACTTGCTTATATAACTTGAAAATCTGGTACTATTTTATTCATGCCTGAAATCTTGGGGTCCAGGATGCCTTGTCTTTATTTTTTAAAGAAGTCAAACTTTGGGAGTTTAGAATATAAAATTTGTAGTTTGTTTTGTCAAAATAAAAGGTTCACACTAGATTTTTTTTCTCTGAATTGTCTGATTTCTCTAGCTGTTTTTATATTTTATGCTTCACACAGTGCTTTTTTAATTTTTATTTCTTATTTTTTAAAATTTATTTTTGTTACAGATGTTTCTCCTTTTTCTCCCATTGAGTCCCCCTCCCCCACCCTCTCCACCCTGTCCCCAGCTTTGTTGTCCATGTCCATTGTTCATGCATACATGCATATAAGGTCATTGGTTTATCTCTCTCCCACCGCCCCCTCTCCTGGGGATTGTCAGTCTGTACCCCACTTCCACATCTCTGGGACTACCCATTCCTCAGACTGTTATGTTCATTATATTTCACAAATAAGTGAGATCAAATGATACTTTTCTTTCTCTGTTTGGCTTGTTTCGCTTAGGATAATACTTTCCAGGTCCCTCCATGTCATCTCAAGGGATAAAAGATCTTTCTTATAGCTGCATAGTACTCCATTGTGTATATGTACCACAGCTTTTTTATCCATTCGTCTACTGATGGACATTTGGGCTGTTTCCAGATCTTAGCTATTACACAGTGCTTTTTGAAGCTTCAATTTATTTGATCTCTTCCTATCCCTTAAAGTTACTGGCCATATAACCCTAATTTACAGATAAGGAAATGAAGGTTGATGGCTGTCCAGGGTGATGAAGTAAATGGCAGTTAGATCTTAAGATTGGGTGTTTTTCCACATTATCTTTTCTACACTTCAAATGGCCAGATTTGGACAGAACTGCTGTAGTTTGGCACCAGTGATGGAGGAATCAACAGAGAAGGTATTACCTCTATCTCTACCTTAGAAAGAAGGCCCATGGCTCCTGCATGCACATCTGCCTACCACGAACCCGCCCTACCAGACCGAATCCTCGGAAACGAATGGGGAATGCTTTTTCTCTTTCCTTCAATATCCATCAAGTATTGGACATTAACGAATTCACTTTCTCATCTAGGCTGCCTTTGATCTTTATTTTAACAAAACTGACCTCTATCAGATGGCAGAGATGTGTGGGACTCGATGCAATTGTCCAGTATTGTTTTCTTTTGGGAAGATCCTGTTATGATTGGTGCTTGGTTTTTTTGTTATTGCTGTTGATTTATGACAACTTATAAAACTTTTTCACTATAATTGAAGTACTAGAGAAATCTAGTTTCCGTTTCTAAAAAAGACTCTTTGAGCAGTCTATTTGAACATATCTTTGCAATTTTTCCTAGTGAAAAATTACTTTTTATTTTGCTACATAAATGGCATTACTTCGAGCTTCTTATAAGTTCATCTTAAAAGAGAATACTCTGCAAGCCATTGTTCCTTCAGTGATGAGTCAGGGTTTCACAAAATGCTCAGTATTGGAGGACTGGAAGATGACAACTGTGAACTTATTTTTCAAGATTCAGCAGTAGAGTGGTTTGCATCACTATCCATGTTGTTTCTTCTGAAGAATATCACGTCCGTGTTACCATATCTTTTTCTCAATCTTCTCTATTAAATGTCAGTTGCATCTCGGGAAGTGGCTTCCCCATTCAGGTAAGAGTGATCTGATTCCACATCTGTTGATGAAAGTGTGACAGGCGCTGCCACCCAACAGGATGCCTGGCATCTGAAGGTAATAAGTTCTTTCTTCTTTTAATGGAAAACACTACAGAAACATTTTTTAATGTTGCATTATGTGGATAAGTTCAACAATGTGCACTTGTACCTAGTGAATAGAAGACTTTTTCATACAACATGGCTCCTCCCTGTCAGACAACCCAGCCAACAGAAAATCTAATCCTGGGGGTACAATCTGCTTTATTGGGGTTTTACTTTGTGAGCAATTTAAGAGCTTTTAAAGAGTTCAATTGAGTCCAGACGATGTGGCTCAGTGGTTGAGCATCGACCCCTGCACCAAGAGGTCGCTGGTTTGATTCCCGGTCAGGGCACATGCCCAGGTTGTGGGCTCAATCCCCAGTGGGGGGCATGCAGGAGGCAGCCAATCAATGTTCTCTCTCATTGATGTTTCCATCTCTCCCTCTCTCTTCTCTCTACATAATCAATAAAGAAAAAAAAAGTAAATTTGATACAAAAAATTTTTACCTTACAAGTTGACTCAAGTACATACCCCCTAGGAGAATCTGTTGCGGGCGGCGGGAAGGGCACCAGGTGTCGGACCTGGGGTCAGGCGGCCTGGGTTCAGCAACCTCGGTGCTTGAGTTCTGCCCAGGAAAGAATTCGGAGCCAAGACCCAAATGAAAAGAGAACATTTATTTGAAAAATCACAGAGGTAGAAGTAATTTGTAGATGAAATGGGTTTAGGAAACAAGTTATAAAGGTAAAGGAAGGGCCCTTGGAGCATGGGAGTGAGGACGGTAATGGTGACAAGCCTGGGGTTGGCGGGGAAGGGAAAGGCCCCGTGCCTGCCCCCCCTTTCGAGAGCTCGAGTGGGTCCTCTGTCCCAAGGGTTGGAAGGGTGGAGATTTTAGGGGATGTCCCAGGGGGGACAATAGTCAATAGATTATTCATCAGTTTTCCAGGTGTGTCCTTTCAGGGTCTCCACTGACTATTTAGGGCAGGGCAGGGGGTCATTATCCAACGCAGCTGGTCCTGAGGCCAGCCATGGGGTTGCTTGTCTGGTTTTGCTGCTTCTCTGGGCCTAGAGCTGAAATGCAACTCAGGCCTAAATGTTGTTTCTAGGGAGGAAAAGTCAGGGGGTCCCAGCTGCATGACCAGAGATGTGCTAGGGGAGGAAAGGTCACTCTAAGGGTGATGTCCTTTGCTAGGCACCCAAGGCTTTCTGCCCTGGTGACCTTCTGCATCTGGCCTATCGTCCTTGCTCTGTCATGTCTGCCTAACTGCCCACCACAAATCTTTTGACTCTACAGTCTTATTTTTCAGTTTCCAAATTAAGATTATAAAGAGCGAATAATTTGTGTTGTTTGTGGAGTTGTATTTATCATTCATTGAAATTAGGTCAATTATTTAGATGTTTGTTGACATGAGACTGTGGTTAGAAAACCCATGTTTTCTGGCTTTAAATATTCTATTATCAGTACACAAGAGACTACTTTGTGAAACTCCAAAGAGCAAAATAGGAGGTGAAGTTTAGTTTGGCCTAGAGAACTTTCTAACTGTCATTTTAAACATGCAGTGGACTGTCTCATGAGGCAGAACACTCAACCTTTGGAAGGAACTGATGAGGTTATGTGAGCATGTGGAAAATTAAAAAAGATCATTTAAAGCACCCTTGTGACTGATTCTGCCTTGAAAAATGCTGTAGACCATATCGATTCTGACCAAAGGTTTAG